TCCCCTCTAGCCAATATTAGCGTCAATAATAGTGTCAGTACTATTAGCATCCAGTTGCAGCACTATTTAGTAGCAGTAGTAGAACGACACCCATTCAGGTTTGCAAAAGTCCGAACTCCGGGGTTAAAATCGTAGACCATATTGTGCTCACCGGAATGTGTTTCTTTGTTCGTTGACGTTTCGGACAGCTGGGCCGGCTGTACTTTTTCAAAGCGTGAACTGACCTTATCGATCAGCAATGCAAAGTTTTGGCCGTATGTGTTGGCCACGGGCTGATCGATTTTTCTACCTTCGCTGATTGGACCTTCCGCGGCCTACAAAGTCCTACGACATTACGTAAGAAAAGGACAGGACACGGTCAAACCGAAGTCAGGAATTGCAGACGAAGACGGCCCTGTGACTAAACCACCAGAAGAGGGAGCAGGATTACCAGCGTCCTCTACCGTGAAGACGAAAAACAGCACTGACTGTCGTCAACTTATGCCAAAATCCACACGGAGGGCTAAGCAGTGAACGTAGAAAAATCGATCAGCTCATGGTCAACACGTACAGCCACAGCTTTGAATTGCTGATCGATAAAGTCAGTTCAAGCTTTGACAGAGGACAGCCGGCCCAGCTGTCCGAAAAGTCAGCAAACAAACAAACGAACACATTCCGGTGAGCACAATTTGATCTACGACACCTATTTTTGGACTATTTCTATTGCACTGGTTGGGATGGCCTCTTTCTCAACCGAACAAAGGTTGCGCTACGTGGAAAAAATACGCACACGGTTCGACCAACTAAGATCCCGCCTCGACGTCTACCTGTGTGCTACCGGACACAGCGAAGGGCAATGATAGATGAGATACTCGATCGAAAGATTGTTGCGTCGTCTAGTTCCCCTTCACTGTCCCCGGTCGTTCTAATGATGAAAAAAGACGGCACCCTACGTTTATGCGTTGATTATCACAAGCAAAACACAATGACAACAAAAAGATTCCTTTCCTTTGCCTCGGACTGACAAAACCTTAGATGTCCTGTCGGGTAATCAGCCCTTATCAACGTCAGATTTGGCCGCCGGATATTGGCAGTTAGAAGTCAGGGTCTCCGATCGTGATGAAACTGCCTTCTGAGTTCCCTCCGGACAATACAAATTCGAAACCGTTTCCCTTAGTTTGGCTACTGCGCCTAGTACCTTCCAGAGACGTATTAAGCAAGCTCTCTCACACAGTTCGTCCCGAAGGCCTGTTTGGTGTATCTCAACGACATCATCATACCTGAGAGGAATTTCAAAGACCATTTGCATAATTAACGTATGGTATTCGACAGCCTAAAGCAAGCAAGTCTCGTTCTTAAACCGGCCTGAAATGCCTACTTCTACGAGTCAACGCTCAAATTCTCAGGGCATGTCGTTTTCGCATCCGATCCCAAGATTGCTAAGGTCATAGAAGTCCGCAAGTGACCAGCGCCA